GCCGGTTGCTGCGCCCTCCACCTGGAAGGACCATCCTCCCTCTCCACCCCTCCTCCTTCAGGGTCAGATCCAGGAGCCCTCCTTCCGGAAGTATCCTCCCTCAGCACTGCTGTCAGGCTCTCCCCGGCCATGCTGTCATGGGGTCTCCCTCTCCTGCTAGACTGTGAGCCTCTAAAGGGCAGAGCTGGTCTCACTTGCCTCTGTCCCCTCAACGACCTCTAGCTCCGTGCTGGGCTCCCAGGGATGCCGCTGAGGGAACACACCCTCTGTACACGCCCTGCCCCTCGTCAAGCCCAGGCACCAGAGGGAAAACCTGAGTCTTCATCACACTTCACTCTCCCTCCCCTTTGACCCCGGTGGTCACCGAGCCCTGTCCATGGCCCACCTCTGCTCTCTCGTCCCTTCCCCTCTGCCTCCTCCCATTCTTCCTCCTCCCCCCACTTGCCTGTGAGCCCCCTGAGGTCTCCAAAGGAGAGGGAATGCTTCTACATCTCCTCTCGACCTCATAGCAGCTCAGGGAAGGCTTCGTTTTACCCAATCGACAGATGGGGAAACTGAGGTCCAGACAGAGCCAGCCCTTCCAGAGGTCGTGCCACGTGACGGCAACAGAGCCAGGACGCAGCTGGGGTCTCCAGACTCCTGCTGGGTGCTCGGCTCCGCACAGTGGCGTTGCACGTGCCATGAACAAGGCGCACCAGGGGCGGCTGTGCGCGTGGGCTGCAGGCGGGGGACTCACAAGAGGGGGCTGGGCAGTGGGAGCACCCAGGAGCCCTCCCTCAATGGGTGAGAGGCACTGTGAAGAGGGCATCTGGGCAAGAAGGGTGTCAGCAGAGGCGTGAAGCCTGCAGCAGACTCCTCAGGCGGGCGGGCACACAGGTGTGGGAGGTAGGTGCTCAGCTGCAGCCCCTCAAAGGCACCGTTTCCAGCTGAAGTTACATTTTCAATTTTTTGTCTGAGCCTCCAAACAGAAACATCTGTCGCCCAGGCCCAGGCCCCGGTTATGAGTTCTTTCCTCTCTTCTCTGGCCTGTTGACAACCCTTTCATTTTCTCCCATTTTAGCGAGGCTGGAAGCTTGAGAGAGGCCACTGTGTGTGTCTTCTTTGGAAATGACCATAAATGAGTCTTTTTTTTTTTTTTTTTTTTTTTGCTGAGATGGTCAGAGGACAGAGGAGGGAGGAGGCTGGGGGACAGACACAAGCGAAGGTAACAGGAGCTTCTCTGAGATCGAGGTGTGCATCACACCAGAGAGTGGAGACAGCACGGGGCCCGGGGATGGTTCAAATTAGGATGCTCTTCTCCAAAGGCAAAACTGGCAGTCTGCTCTTGTGCACTGTCACCGTGGCAACAAAGCCAGGCGGCGGGAAGTCACACTGCCTGCTCAGTGACCTTCCACTGGGCTGGGACAGCACCGGCCTAAGCCCCAGGCCCTGAACTGCTCTTGACTCGAGGTGTGGCCTGGCGTCAGACCTCCACTCCGGCGACCCCATCTGTAGAAGGAAGGGCCGTATCGGGAGGTGTCCAAGGGCCTTTCTGTGGATCCCAAGCAGGTGGCCAGGTAGCCAGGGATGTGGCGTGCTCCACGTGGGTTAGCGTGAATGTCAGAGGTTCTTATGGGGCAACAGAGGTGGTTTTGAGGGCAGGCGGCGCGTCTCTCCCTGGATTAGAACAGAGTTGATTCTGAACTTGACTTCTATTTGACTGTGAACTCTGAGAGCAAGAAGCGCGTCTCATCCAGCTGCTTCTTCCATGGAGTCCAGTCCGGGGGTTCCATGAGGTTGAGGTGATGAGAGGGAAGCCCCGCCAGCCCGCAGGTGAGCCTATCCTGCCATGAGCGCTCGGCTGCTTCTCAGCGGGTGCCTGGACTAACTGGCCTTGGAAATGACCTGAGCTCGGGCCATACGCCCTTCCTGTCAAGGCAGCAGGACTTACCCCCCAAGAGGCAGGGCCCCAGCTTTAGCGGGTCTCTCTGACCTTGAAGGCTACTTTCCCAAGTTTCTCCCTTTGAGCTGTTTGAGAATCTGGGATGAAAACAATACGCAAAGCCTTTGTAATCCAAGCCCTCGGAACAGGATTCCAGGAGGCTGGGCCTGCTGTTTCCCATTACAGTGGAGTATGTTATCTGATGGGTACAGGGGGGAAAAACCCTGCGTTCCCACTATTCACTCACCACTCAGCTTTCCGGGAATGAGGCTGGGAAAAGTCTCACCGTGTTAATTGCCCAGATGGACCGAGCCATCAAGGTGGAGCAAGTGATGGGGGGAGTAGAACTGGTTTCAGCAAAGTCCATGCAGGGGATGCAGCACTCAGACCTGGGGGGGGAGGGGGGCAGGGGGCAGCCAGCGGAGCCAGGAAGGAAGTACCCCGGGTCTGGTATGTTACAGCAGACCAGATGCTGGAGGGTGAGCATCTCACCTGACATCTGACTTTCACAAGGCACCCAGGGAGGGTGAGGGAGAGGTAGGCACCGCCCTCACCAGCCACCAGAACATCAGTTCTCACAGTGCCGTCCCAGGACAGCAGCACCAGGAGCACCAGGGAACTCTTGAGAAATGCAGATTCTCAGGCCTCAGCCCAGACCTACTGAGCCAGAAGCCCCAGGGGTGGGACCCAGCAATCTGTGTTTTACCACACCCTCCAGTGGGGATGCCTGCTGAACCCTGATGATCATGCTCTAGCAAATCTTCCCAGTGGGTGGCCGTAGACAAATACAGACGTGCTGGACCATTGATCCCCTCAGCCATCAGGGAACTGGGCAGAGTCTGGGTCAACCAGAGTCCCCAAGCCAGTTGTCCCTAACTCTGTGTGTTGCCCCAGTACGATGATTTACTATCTGTGCCGAGGAGTAGGAAACACTGCTGGAGGAGATGCCAAGGCTCAACCTTGCCCGAGCTCCTCCCACGACAGTGAGCAGGGACAGACAAGGGCAGGGTAGGGACTCAGCCTGGACCGCCTGCCCCAGGCCGAGGGCTCGCTCCCTGATGCGTGCAGCCTCTCCAGATCATTTCACGTGCCGTCATTTTGCTGGTTCATTTCATGGCACACGGCCCCGGGGACAGGGGTAGGTTCTGGGAGAAGGGACAGCTGACAGAAGAAGAAGAGGTGCTCCAGGCCCACGTTCACACTCAGATGTCTCTGGACTGAGCCCCCTGACAGATCAGAGCCCCAAGTCATTCTCAAGCACTTGCCAATTAGGGCTGAGCCCAAGAAGTCCAATCCCCAGGCCCCTGGGAGGTGCCTGGTGAGTCGAGTCCTGCAGCAGAAGCATTCTTGGGGAAAGAGAAGTTACTCCAGACGGGGGCAGGTGGAGAGGTCCGTGGTGGTGGGCCACCCCAGGGAGGGGCACAGAGACAGATGTAGGCCTTCAGCGAGGGGTCCCAGGGGTCCGGAGGCGGGGTGGAGCCTGTGTCCAGGGTGCGGTCCAGAGCCCTGCTGGGCAGGTCCTCCTGCAGGAAGGATGCCCTGTGGCCTCCCACCCCGTCCTGCAGAAGGTGCCAAGGCTGGTGTCACCTCCTTCCCCCATGCAGCCCTTCTCTCATCACTCTGAATGAGTGGCCCTTTGTACATGAAAGGAAAGCGACCTGCATGTGCCTTTAATCCTCCCGATGAAAGAAACGCCGGCACGTGACCCCACAGGAATGCTCCGTCCCTGGCCCAGTGGGCGGGCAGGTGGACGGCTGAGCAGGTGGACGCGTGGGTGGGGCGTAATGAGGATGTCACGACGTCTCCTCCACGTCTCCTCCCTGGGGACACAGTCCCTGGGGACTGTGTATGTGGAGTCCTCTCTTTCTCTCTTTGGCTCCATTCAAGGGCTCACCTGCCCGTGGGTGGGCAGCGGCCCTAGACTCCAGGGGAGCCCCTTGGATCGCAGGCGGTCAGAGCCGCAGGGCCCCAGCCATGGCCTACGTCCTCCACCCCAAAGCCCACCATTTCACAAAAGGAAAACAGAGGTTCCGCCCGAGGTCACAGCGAGTCAGGAGCGGCTGAGACAATGTTAACGAGAGCGGTTCTCCGTGCTTGGTAATGTCCTGGGCGCTCTTCACAACAGCCGTGTGAGCCAGGCACAGCCACTGCCCCCATTTTACAGATGACAAAGTGAGGTACAGACAGGCGAGGTCCGATGGCTCCCAGCCAGAAAGCAACAAGGCCAGGATTCAAACGCCAGAACGCACGCTCACCACACTGGCAAGTTCTAAAGCTGCCCCACTGGAATCCAGGTCTCCTCTCCACCCCCAGGCCTGCCCCTCCCACTGCGCCCTGAGGCCTCCAAGTCACCACCCAAAGGCTACAACCGCCAGTCCGCGGGGTGGGGGTGGCGGGGGCGGTTGCTGCCCCAGCCCTGGGGCCTGGTCAGAGAACTCCTATTCACCCGCCTCCCCTGGCCTGAGCCTCAGCTTCCCTTAAAGACTGAGGGCTGGGTGAGAGGAGCCAAGGGCCCCCGCCGGCAATCCCACTGCCTCTGGGGCACCTCCACTCAGTGTTCAGAGGGCCGCACCCCCAGAAGGACCGGGGCCGCTCCTCCCACGTGAGGGCCGCTGCTCCAAGGAAGCCACCTCCGAGCACACCCTGGCCGGCCGGGTCCTCCCGCCTTCCGATCCTGCCCGAGCTCCACCGCCACCACCAGGTAACCTCACTCGCTCTTCCTCCTGGGGACCTAACAGCACTCAGCACACCTGGCAGCTGCTGCCCGGAACGAGGGGGGCTCTCAAGAGGCACCAGCTCACCTCCACCCCCTGCCACGGGGCATCTTAGGGAGCTACCTGAAGACACGGCATCTCGCAAACCGCACACGTCTCCCTGGGCCATGGTGACCACAAAATGCCACATACAGACAAGCCCCAAGCACTGTGTCTTTGTAGTCTGCAGGGGTCCTACCGGCCCCTCACCACACCCCTCCTAGTTGGGACAATCCAGGAACCCATCCCCCTTCCTGCAGGCCACTCCCAACCACTGCTCCTCCCAGCCACTCAGGCAAGGCCCCAAAGCCACAGATGGGCCTGACTCACTTGGTTCTGATGCACAGCTCCAGGGGAGGGACGAGGTCGTTGTCTCTGTCCTCAGGGACGGTCTGGGTGGTGTCTGGGGAGCGGGGAGAGAGAGGCACATGCTCATCAGCCCGGGGCCCACGTTCACCCCAAGGTCAGCACCAACAACCCTACTCCTGGGACCTGACTCTTCCGGTACCTGCCCCTCGTCTCGTCTTATTTGGACCCTCCCTGGTTCCTGCCCATCGGTTCTGACCTGGACACCACAGGTGTCCCTGCTCACTGGCCTCCCACCTCCGGTCTCCACCCCACCCTCCGGCCCCCTTTCAGCCACCAGAATAATTCTTTCTAAAAACATGTCTGAGCCCACCACTCCCCTGCTCCAGAACCTTCCATGGCTCCCCACTGCCTGGAGAATAAAACCCAAACTTGTTGCCGTGATACTGTCTACTACATAGTCTCAACCTCACCTTGTACCCTTAAGGACATCAGCTTCTCAAGGCCCAGCTCTGGCCCCCTCCTGCAGGAGGACCTGCGCACACTCGCCCTCTGATCCCCCAGTCTGCATTGTTCTCTGGCTGCCCTGACTGGGCGTGCTAAGGCCGGCATCCCCGACCGGTCTGGAGGCTCCCCGGGGACAGACAGGGCAGGCGGGGAGGCGGCGCACCGATGGTCAGCCGGATCTGCTCCTGCTGGGTGGCCAGGCCGTCGTAGTAGTACAGGTCAAAGAGCCTCTCGGCCCTCCAATCTTGCAGCAGCTCCAGCTGCAGGCTGAAGAGGACGCTGAAGTGGCTCTCACTGCACACCACCCAGATGGGGAACCTCGGGGTCTTCAGGAAGCAGCCGACCTGGACGAGGGAGAGGGAGCAGACAGAGGTACCTAATACCATGCGCCATCCCCAGGGAAGCGGGCCAGAGCATCTTCTGTCCAACCCCAGGCCCAGGCTGACCTCAGCGAGGCCCCGTTGGGGATCCCAGACACTGTGTGAGGCTGGGGCCCCGTCTGTGGCTCACTGACACAGAGCTGTCCCTGCCCGCTCAGCCCGCTGCTCGCAGGGCCTTTGCCCCACAGACAGTCACATGGAGATACGCTGGCCTGAAAGCCGGGCGTCACCCCCCCGTTCACCTCCCACATCCAGCTGGTATATGGTGATTGCCCACCCTGTTCTCCAGGCCCAGCCTCTCCTCCCCAAGCAATGACCTCCTAGCCGGCTCTTCCATCCCCTCCCCTCCCCAGCCACAGCCACACAGAACCCCTCACCGGTCCTCAAACTACTCCAGCACGGCAAGCCTCATGCCTGTGCGTTCACTGTTCCCCCGTACACCTCTCCTCTCCTAGGGGTCCTGCATCGCCCAGATTACCCAATGAGAGGGCACGCATCATGTCCCGCTTCTAGGCCTAGGTACTAGGTGCTAGGTGCCCGCGCTCCTCTGCTGCCGTGCATCACTCTGCCTCACCATAAGCACGTGCGCCTGCCTCTGGCACGGACTACACCCTTAGCCCAGAGCAGGGGGTGTAAGTCAACATAAGCAAATGTTTGACGCCTGAAGGTCCTCGCGAATGAAGCGGAACTGGAGCTAGGACTTTAGCTTGAAGACAGGTGGGCCTGAAGCCACAGGGGGAAGGGAGGGAGGGCCTCTGGGTGAGCAGTCTGTGGGTGATGCCCAAACAAATGTCCAGAGACATTCAGGAAAAGCGCAGGGCATCAGGAAAGAGCATGGGAAGGGGGGGGATAAAGAGCTGGAACTTCCTTCTGAGGAGGGAGTCCTTTGGAAAGTTCCCAGCAGAGGACTTGCATGGTAGAGGGGTGTTGGGAGAAGGCAGATGCACGGAATCAGCATCAGGGCCTTCCTGTGGTTCTGCCTGCAGAGGAGAGAGGCGTGGCGTGGCCCTCCGAAGGCCTGCTCAGACGCCTGGCTGGTCTGCCCCTCGGTGGCCAGACCTCGACGCACTCTCTCGCTGTCACCTGTGACTCCCCACCCCGGGCCCTAGTTTATTCATTTCTGTACGTGCAGTGGGCCAGGCTGATTCGGCCTAATCCCCACCAGCCCCAAGGAGATGTTTGCATGCTCAGGTATTTACAGCCACAGCCTGTGGATTAAGGAAAGAATGGGAATTATTTTTCCAGTGGGGAGATGGGCATACTTTCTCCGGGGCCCGTCACAGACGAATGGCCGGCCAGTCTTCCTCGGGCCTCTCAGAGCCCACCTGGAGCTGGGGTGTCCCGGACAAAGGGGCTGTGCTCCGGGGAAATGCTTGCTCGTGAACCTCCTACAGAGGGTAGCAGGGTGAACTTCACGAAGTGTTCACTGTCTCATTGTCCAAGCCCCCCACCTGCCCCCTCCACCTGGCCCCTTGGGCCCTCACCCCAGCCCCCTGTGAACATTAAAGTGTGACTCACTCCTTGGTGGAAACGGGAGCGGCGGGGGGGGGGAGGTGGAATTAGTTGTCTTAAACGATGTGGCTGGACGTGCCTAAACCCCACTGCAAACTTGGCCTCCATTCCAGGTTAAAATTCCAGGCTTTTCTGGTGAGGGCATCACCTCGAACAGGGAGCCCTGAAGACTGGGAAGCCAGTGCCCATTCACTGCAGGAAAAAAGAGCCATGCAGCCCACCAGGAACAGGCGTCTGCAGAAACAGCCACCCTGAATTTTCCAGCAGAGGGACAAAAGGGCAGCTTGCCATTTAAGCAACAGTCAAAAGATTAAGGGCAAAAAAAGCTGCCCGGGGAGCTTATAAATGAGTTTTCTCATTCAGGAGCCCCTCCCCATTGGGTGACATTTTCCAAAGATGAAATTCACTTCCTTTGGACTCTCGGGTAGCTGACCAAAGGCCTGGGGTGAGGAAGGAGGGTGGGTGGGCACATTTCCTCCAGCACAGCCTCTCTCCTGGTGGGTAAACGTGCAGCACAATCAGGGATTAAGGTGACCCTTGAACAACGTGGGTTTGAACCGTGTGGGTTCACTTACACACGGATGGTTTTCAACAGTAACGACTACAGTACTACGTGGTCCGTGGTTGGTTGAATCACCGGATGCAGAAGAACGGCGGATACGGAGGACTGACTGTGAATTATACGCAGATTAACGCCCGTGCTGCTCAAGGGTCAACTCGTACTTTTACCTGGATGCTTAACGTCTTTTGCGGGAGTGAGGTGTGTGAATGCCCCCAACCCAACCATGGACTGCCAGCTTCGAAGCCCTAATTTAAAAGGACCAACATTTGATTGCTGGCAGAGCGGCAGTCTGTCATCTCCAAGGATGACATCCATTCAACATGAGTTATACTTTGGTCCCAGGGACCGTGTGAGACAAGGGGTCGGTGGTGAAGTACCCTGGAACGGCCTGTCCTCATGGGGTCAGCCGCTGAATGAGGAGGAGATAGTAAACAAAGAATCACACAGACACATTTGCACCACATTTCACTGAATCTAAGATGCCATCAGAGCCACCGTTCTTTTTTGTATCCCTAAGAAAGGACGCAGCCTGGCGATTAAGGCCCGACACATCATCGACTGCATGAATAACTCAGAAACGTTCAAAATGTGGGGCACGTTTGCATCTCAAAAGCAATGAAATGGGATGCGTAAAGCCGGGAGGAGGCCTGTGAAGGAAAGAACTAACATTCTATGATGGAGGATGACAAGGTGGGCAGGGGACCACGAGTGCAGACCTCTATTGAGACAGAGTGATGAGGTCAGGAAAGGCTTCCCTGAGGAAGTGACAGTGAAGTCAAAACGTGAAGGGAGGGAAAAGCCGGGACAGGATGCAGGGCCTTAAAGGTCATGGGAAGGTCTGGATTGTAGTCTCTGTATTGAGTTTGCTAGAGCTGAGTGACAGAGTTCCACAGATCGGGCAGCTCAAACAACAGAAATTTATTTCCTCACAATTCTGGGGGATGGACGTCCCAGATCAAGATGCCGGCAGGGTTGGTTCCTTCTGAGGCCCCTCTCCTTGGCTTGTAGATGTGGTCTTCCCTCTGTGTGTGCCTGTGTCCTAACCTCTTCTTCTAAGGATACCAGTCCGCTGGATTTGGGCCCAACCATATGACCTTCTTTTACCTTAATTACCTCTTGAATGGCCTTATCTCCAAATACAGTCACACTCCAAGGTACTGGGGGCTAGGACTTTAGTAAATGAATGTTGGGTCGGGGGAGCGGGGGGAAACGGCACAATTCAGCCCATAACAATCTCAGAGGACTGGGAATGCATAGAAGGTTGTTAAGCAAAGGAACGATGTGACTGATCTAGTCTTTTAAAGATCCCACTGGCTTCAGTGAAGGAACAGGATTGGAAGGAGGTGGGGACAGGAGCCAGAGGCCAGCTGGGCCATCACAAGTGTCCCGAACAGTGATGCTGGCGGCTCGGATAAGGGTGAAAGTGGACAGACTTGAGAAACAGCTTCGGGAAGGAGCCCCACGACCTCTTGATGGATTGAATGCGCTCCTGGTTTGAGTAACTGGGTAGATGGTGCTGTTTGCAGAGCTGGACAAATGGGAGGAGGAGGGTGGTGCTTACAGAGCTCTCCCTGCCAAGCTCAGCCTTTGCCCAGGTCCCTTCCTGAAGGCAGCAATGAATGGGGAAGCCGTGAAGTTAAACTCCCTGTGCCTTGCTGTCCTCCCCTGGCCTCTCCGTCCCCCATCACCACTGCCACCACAAGCCAGGAGGGGCTGGTCTCCCCACCGCAGCCTGCAGTGCAGCCCATCCTCACTTTGCGCTCTGGGGTGGAGGGAGTGAGGGGAAGTCAGATGGGCAAGGCGAGGCCAGCCCAGTGGGTCACCGATGGCAGACTGGGTCCCGTAGGACACAGCCATGCTGGGGCGGGGGGCTGCTTACTTACGGCAGGGGTGCATTTCTTGGCCCAGAGTTGCCTCTGCTTCCCCCGGGGCACAGCCGGAATGTGGGCCACCTGACAAGCTGGCTGATAGGCAGGACCTATCACCCTCCCACACACATACTCGTGAGGGCCCCAGAACCCTGGCTCCCAGCCAGAGGCCGCACTGAGAAGCCTGGAGATGGGCTGTGAGTGAAGGCGGGCCTGGTTCTGCCGTCTACATGAAAGAAAGGCTTCAACCTTATCAGAACAGCCCCGCGGTAGATGCCATGCCCAGGCGGCCCCAAAGACCAGATCTTCCCCAGTGACCAGGTCTGTACTGCCAGGTGGAAGACCAGGCCAGGCTGAGAGGGGACCCCGGCTCTGGGTCCAGGTCTGGGCCTGGAGGCTAAACCTCCTTGGATTCCCTCTCTGTCTGACGTGGCTAATCATGAAAGCCCCAAGGAACTCAGCGACCAAAGGGATAGCGGGTGGAGTTACGGGAAAGGAAAGTGCTTTGTCTAACTGCCCGGCCTCTGCCTTCTCCTTCAGAGGCCCAGCCTTCAGTGAGCTCTGGAGAGTAGGAGAGGAGGCCCTGGGGTCCTTCTTTAGCGAGGTTGCAGTCCCAAGGCAGAGGAGCAAACCATCCCTCGCTGCAGGGAGATACAACACCAGTCTTTGACGAAGCAAACAATAGCAGAGCGGGGCGGCGGGGGTGGGGGGGGGGGGTCTATGTGGATTCAAGGATCATTGTAGGACCTGAATTTGTGCAATCTGCATTTTGTTCCAAGGACAGGATGACGCCCAACTGCTGTTCCCGTCAATTACCCTCAACAGACCGAAGGAAAATAGTTGACATTTTGACCAATGCCCCCCACACGAGAGTGAAACCAGGGCTCATGGTAAACCTGGGGATTCCGCAAGCCCGGGCAAGGTCACCTCTCAGCCCGTGAAATTTCGGGCTGAAGGTCTTCACAGCCCACCCAGGATCTGATGCTCAGGGTTCCTGGTGCTCCTCACGGGCCACGCAGCTACACTCCTGGGCTCCCTCCTGACACCAGCACGTCTGGGAAGGAGTCACTGTCACTCTTTTCTCCCCAAGTCTTTGGAACCCACAAGGCTGCTTCCTGTCAGTGGGGGTGGGTTGTCACCCAGAGGCGGAATCTGGGCACAGGGCCACCTGAACAACGGCGTTCAATGGGACAGCCCACCCGAACATGTGATCACGCAGGAAGGGCATGATGAAACTGAACCGCCCTGCATATCCATCCACCTAGCATACTCTGAGTATCCCTTTGGGTCAGTCTCTGCATCCCTGGTTCTGGGGATGTAAGATGAACAGGGCCTCATCCTGACCCTCCAAGAATCTTTGCTGGGCCGGTCACCAGAGAAAGACCTCCTGCTACCCCTCAGGACAACCCTTTCATGTAATCGACCACAGAACAATGTCTTCCCTGGAGACATGAAAACCGAGGCTCAGAGAAGGTTCAGCAGCAGGCTGGGACAAGAACACAGGGCCCAGTGGTCCCCTGCCCATGTTGCCCAGAGATACTGTCACCCTACCCCGTGCCCAGCTTCACCTGGGGGTCCGGCCCTTTCTAAGACCCTGGCTGCAGTGAGAGAAATGGTAGAGGGACCAATACCCTTGCAAACAGACTGAGTAAGGCCTATTATGGGTTGAATTGTGTCCCCCCAAAAGCTCTGTTGAAGTTCTAGCCCCCAGTACCTCAGAATGTGGTCTTATTTGGAAATAGGGTTGTTGCAGATGTAATTAGTTAAGGCGAGGTTAGTGGATTACAATCCACATGACTGACGTCCTTATGAGAAAAGGAGACACAGAGGGAGAAGATGGCCATGTGACACCAGAGGCAGAGATTGGAGCGATGCAGCCACAAGCCAAGGATCACCAAGGATTGCTGGAAAACATCAAAAGCTAGAAGGGACAAGGAAGGCTTATTCTCCCTGTGGGTTTCAGGAGGAGTGTTGCCCTGCCGACACCTTGATTTTGGACTTCTGTTAGGAGAACTTCTGCTCCAGAACTATGAAACGACACGTTTCTGTGGGTTTAAGCCACCCAGTTTGTGGTGCTTTGTTGAGACAGCCCTAGGAAACTAACACGAGGCCCAAGACCTCAGGTCCTTGTCCCTGGAAAAGACCCCCTGGCCAACACACACACACACACACACACACACGCGCGCGTGACAACTGTGCCCACTCTAGTGCGCGAGCACACTGTAAATCCCTAGAAGTCCCTTTCGTGGCATCACAGCTGGCTCCGGGAGTGAACTTCATGCCTGTACTGGATGGCGGTGAAGCTGTGTGTGTGCGTAGTTTTCCCATATGCTCTGCGATTGAGACTGGACCCAGTTCCGGGAACTGGAGCCAACTCTCCTTCTCCTCCCTCCCTCCTGTTGGTCCCAGGGAGCCAGGCTCTTGGGTCTCTGGAGGCCCGAGGGCTCAGTACCTGGCACACGCTGTAGTGTTCAAAGAGGGACAGGAAGCCGATGTCGCTGCGCGCGGCGATGCCTTTGAGGAGAGTGATGTTCCCGTTCCCGGAATCGAGCTCAACCACGTCGTTGAAAACATTGGACACGGCTTTCCCGGTCAGGAGCAGATTGACAAGTTCCTGTTGATGAGAGAAAGGGGAAAGGCTTGTCAAGGGGAGATGGGGAACAAGAGAAAAAGGGCGGAAAAGGAAGGAAGAAAGCAAGGAGGACGAGAGACTGAAATCAGAGGGGCTGTGGCTTCAGCGTTCCCACAGCCCTCAGGGGAGCTGCCAACTCTGCTCATCAACGTGACTCTGGGAACTCATCAGTCCTTATTCCACAAGCATTCACTGGGCGCCAACTGTGCCCAGGACCCTGTGTGTGGGTTGGCTGGGGGTGGGGTGCGGGTCCCGCTGGAGGGAAAGAGTGGCTCCTGACCTCGGGCGTCCGGGTCTAGAGGGGGGACCGGTGCGGGCCTGCACGCCTGAAGCACAATGTAGGACATGACTGGGGCTGTAACAATGTGTGCACAGAGCGCTCGTGGCCCACACGGACACAGGACCCCATGACAGTCAGAGCCGCTTTGTGGAGAAGCGGCATCTGGGGGGGTCTTGAAGTCTTGGGTATTTTTTTAATAAGCTTTTTGATTCTGAAATAATTTTAGAGTCATAAGAAGTTGCAAACATAGTACAGAGAGCTCCTGTGCACCCCTCACTCAGCTTCCCCCAACGATAACATCTTACATAACCAGAGCGCATTATCAACACCAGGAAGCTGACAATGGGGTGACACCAATAACTCAGCTCCAGGCCGCATTGGGATTTTACCAGTGAGGGCGGGGTCTTCAAGGCGGGGGAAGGAAAGGAGAGGATAGCAGGGGCAGGGAGGAGAAGGCAGGCAGGCCCCAGCCTGGGTTCCCGCTCTGTCTCTGCCTCTGTTGGCTGCATGGCTGCATGACTCACGCCTCGCACCCGACAGGCCAGCAAGCCTTGCCAACCCCAGAACCAGGAGACGGTGACTTGTGGAGCTCTGACTCTCTGGCCATCTCCTTTAGCCAGTGCCTCCGGCACTGGGTTGGCTGCAAGGGCCCTCCCTCAAGCAGAGCATCCAGGGCTCCAACCTCCTGTCAGGCTCGCAGCTGGGAGAGGATTTGCCCAGGCCACACAGCTGCTTAGTGACAGCGCCGGACTCGCACCCTCACTTTCCGGCTCCCTTTCTGGTGTCCCTTCCCTCTCCCCTCACTTGTTACCCTCAGGGTACCACCTGGCCAGCCAAAGATTCAAAACGGAGGGCAACCGCGAAGTACGCGCTGCCCCGCTAAGGAAGGATACACGCGAGCCCAGCCTTAGCGCTGGCGCAGGAGCTTCTAACTCCTTCTGCCAGGGCTGGCGCGTGCGTGAGGCCAGCCCGCAGGAATCTCCTCCATGGTACGTGGGAATGGCCGTAACAGCCCTTGCCCACCATAAACTCTGGAGGGCAGAGTTCACAGAAGTGTTTTCCCCGGAACTGTGAGAGTGATACGCAGGTTAATAAATCCCTCCGTCAACCCCAGGATCCCTGCCCCAGAGGCAGTAAAAGAGGCCCCTCTGATGGCCGCAGAGGGGCCCTCATTGGAGGGAGATACCGAGGGGGCCTCATTGTGTTCTTGCAGAGGAAACGAGAAAGAATTTGGAGGAAATGTCTGCTCTGAGATACTGCACCTCAGGGCCAGCAGCTGCCTAAGAAAGGCATGGCCTTCTTCAGACACATTCAAGTGCTCCCAGTGGGTTTTCAAGGGGGAGAAAAGGTCCTGCTGCCCATCTGGGGTGTGTCTCAAAACCTTCCTCAGAGCACGAAGCCTCCTCAAAATTGGGGGAGAAATAGTGACAGGACGCTCCCTGCCCCTAGACTCAAAATCACCCAGTGGCAAAGCTTAGCGGTCATCTGGATCCTCACTACTCAAAGTGTAGTCCGTGGACCAGCCGCATCACCCTTCCTGGAAGCCTGTTAGAAATTCAAAACCTCAGGCCCTAGCCCGGGCCCACGGAATCTCAGCCTGCTCTTCAGCAAGACTCTGCGGGACTCGTGTGCACAGTCAAAGTTTAAGAAGCACTGATCTAGTCCAAATGCTTCATTCTACAAATGAGGAGACTGAGGTTCGGGGAGGGGAAGAAAGTCGCTCCAGCTCATGCCGCAAGTGGAACTGCCAGCACAGCTCAGAATCCAGCCCCAGACTGTGTTCTGCATCCTCTGTATGCCGCTTAACTGCACGCCCCTGGGTCACACCGCTCTCTGACAGCGCGTCGGGAAGCTCCCACGGGGAGCACAGGCACCCAGAGCAGGAGCTGGACCACCACAGGCCGTCGCTCAGCCTGAAACCTTTCTCTGGGGGGTAAGCAGCAGGCAACCTCACATCTCCTTGGGTGCCTTGGACAAACCACAGGCCCCAAGCTGGCCCTTGCATGGTGCCCAGGTATGTTTTCAGGACTGGCACAAGTGAGCCAGGACCCCTAGGACAACTGGGTCCTCAGCTGGGCCCAGCAACCAGAGAAGCTCCGCTCAGCCTGTCTGTGCTACACACGCCGCCCCCAGATGCACTGAGGGTCAGATTTAACTGTGGCCCGCTGGCCGCTCAGGAGGCCTTGCCATGCAGAGAAGGGCTCAGACAGTAGTCATGTGTAGCATTTGGCTCCAGTCCTGACACTCGCTGATAGGACCTGAAACAGATCCCTTTCCTTGTGCCACCGGGTGACTGGGAGGATCGATGACAAGCAGTTGTGCTAAGGGACCCCCTGCCCTCCACGAAGCCACTTGAGGGCCCCTTTGTGAAGATGCACAGGGGTGGGTGGTCATAAAGACAATGTGCTGTACAATCGTAGGGTGCCATGGTCGTCGTCCCCGCAGCTGGGCCTGAGGCTCCCAGCCTATGCCGGGGCTCCGGGCTGGGCAGCACCTGGCTCTGCCTCTCTTGAGCCTCCTGCAGCTCCAGGCAAACAGATCGGGTACAGCAAACTCCAGAAACAGAAGTTAACCTGAGTTCCCTTTCTAGGTCTCCGTAAGGAAGAAGCCCAGCAGAGGCGGAACAGGAAAGCTGCTTGGGGAGTGCTGGCAGGGGCAAAGACAGAAGGCAAGAGGAAGGGAAAGAAGCGCCTGACCACCCCACGCCCCACTGCGGCCCTGACCTGCGTGCAGTATCCGTGTGCTCCAATCAGGTGGCTGGTGGGGACGTCGAAGTCCTGGCGGACACTGGAGAGCAAGAAGAAAGGGCTGTTAGCACACCTCGGCCTGATTCAGGATCCGGGCAAACCTTGAGGGTGGCCAGGGCCTCCCCTCGGGTTCCAGGCTGAGGCCCCAAATTCCGGATTTGGCAGGAACCTGAGCCTCTGTGCTCTGTGCCCTCCCTGGGGCTGGAGTCCGGGGCTCACTCTGCTCTGGGCAGTGGCCTCCACTCTGGCCTGCAGAGGGCCACCAGGCCCTCGGCAGACACCAGAGGTTCGTGATGGAAGCATGCCACAGAAGAAAGGGCCCTGGGTTTGGAATCCACGTCCTGCATTCACTCTCCTACTGTCGCTTACTAAGAGCGGGGACTGGGACATCCCCTGCCACCTCCAGTCCTCGGTCTGCAAGTCGGTTAAATGGGAGGAACGGCCTCTAATGCCTCCTTGAGTCCTAAAACAACAGCTGCCACCACCTGGGCATAGACCCTGTACCAGGCCGAGTATAACTATTATTCCCTAAACCCTGAGAGAAAAACCAAGGCTCAGAGAAGAACTGACGTGCCCAGGGCACTCAGCTCGTGGGCGATGGAGCTGGCGGGGGATCTAGCTGCCAGTCTCCGAGGCCTGTGTTCCCCCCGACCCTAGATCACCTCTGTGGCTCCACCTTCAGAATGGGGTCCCCCTAAGGGCACAAGGTGAAAAGCCCCTTTGCCAAAAGAAACCCCACCAAACTGAAAGAAAGAGATTTCTAGGGCTGTATGCTACTGGGGGGGCAGAACGGTACAGAGTGTCAGGTCAGCAATGGCCCCGTCACATGTGAGGCCAGCACCAGGAGGCAAGCCCCCTGCCCCCAAATCTCAAAACCATCCTACCGTCTAGAAAGCCCACCATTAGGACATTATTATTCCTTTTACCCCAAAGCAAATCCCTCGGGAGACCAAGCATTATTGTTGAACAGAGCCGTGGGACAGACGGGTAACCGGAAAGGAGCTCCCACCTACAGACCGCACTCAGAAGACAGCATTTCAAGGCTCCAGCCACCCAGTGAAGTAGGAATTACTTTTACAGACATGGAAAGAAACCCAGAGAGGTAACGCCAGGGGGGTGATGTGAGGCCAGGGAGCTGGCTCACCCCACTGCTGCCCACCCAGCACGGGCTACATCTGCACCCCAAAGAGAGCACCCAGGGGTGGCCCAGAGGTAGGAAGAGGCAAGCAATCATGACGTTTGTTTTTCCTTTTAGTGGAAGAGAAGAAAAACCTGGTCTCACTTTCATGCTTTCAATCTCAATCTGCCATAAGTCCACAACCTAAAACATGCACTCTGGCCCCAAACGAGCTTAGAAACTCAAGCTCCGTGACTCCATAGCAGAAACGCTTTCTTGTGGATTTTACTAACTGTGGCCGAACAGGGACGGTTCGTGGTCCACGCGAGAAGACGGGCTGGGTTGACACTGCAGGGCCCAGCCGAGAACCACGGAGGCTGGGGGTCCTCAGGAAGGGCCTTGGAGGCTGGCCTGCCAGAAACGACCCAGCGGGCCTGGGAAGCGGCCAGCTTGGGAGGACGGGGGACAAATGGACGAGGCCGGCGTGTGGCTGGCACTGGCTTGGGCAGAAGAATTGATGGAAACGCTCCCTGTGGCATATATACAGGCATCTTCTGAAGGGAAGAAAATAGCCTCCGAGGAGCCCTGGGTGGACTGATAAGGATCGCTGGCCCCAAGCCACCCCAAAGCTTTCAGAAGCAGTCTGATCTTCTCACAGCCTCGTGTTCACCCAGCCGGTTTGAGCGCCTGCGTCAGCTGAGAGCAGAGGGACGGGCAGAAAGGACAATAGGAGGAAATGGTAATTGCATCCTTAGGTGCAAACACGATGGGAAATTCAGAAGTAGGCTCGGATCTTAAAAAGGAGGAACATCTGTATTTCATACTAGGGCATTTGGGAGACGCCAAGGAGCGGCTTATGGCTTAAGAGATTTACAACTTTGGCAAATCTAGATGCCCAGACCTCGAGCTAGGGGAAAGCCCTGGAGAGCTGAGTGTGAGAAACCCTAGAGCAAAGAAACAGCAGCTTCTGCTCTGCCCCAGAGAGGAGGCGATTCACACGGTGGGGCCATCACCAGACCAGAGCTCTAGCCCTGTCTTGCCGTGTGGCCACAGACCTCTCCTCTCTGGGGCTCAGTCTCCCCTTCTGCAACATGAGGGACTTGCACAAGGGCAGGCAGTGTCCTGGGAGCAGGGGCTGAATCCATGGAGGGGCTGCCTGAGTTCTGAGGTTCCTACTTTCTGGGCTTCTGAGCTACAAGCTGTGATGGGCCCTCCCCTGGGACTGACCATTCCAGTCTAAAGAGCAGTTTATTCCTTCCACAGTCCTCCTGGGAGCTGGACAACACTGAGCCCCGGAAGAGTTCTGCATAGCCCGAGGACCCAGGCACCAGGCTGGGTGAGGGGGAGCCAGGGCCTGATGAAGTCTGCCCCCTGAGACTGTCCCACACTGGGGAACACTTTAGGGAACAGGACCTTGCCTGGATTTTAGATTGCAGGAGGCACAGAGTGTGGGGAGCCTGAGTGGACTTGCCCAGGGCGTGGAAACTTACGAGGAAGGGCTTGGCCCTGGCTGCCCTGCCGCCAGCCTCCTCAGCATTCTGGAAGCCAAGGGCCAGAACCTGGACCAATGGTCTGGGGTGACGGCCTGACCCTGGGGGTGTCCAGTCCACCCACTGACAGAGGAAGGGGCTCTGCCCAGGATGCCAGCAAGGACGGCTTCTCCCAGCTCTGCCCGCATCGGGAGGTCCCAGAGACACTGCACTGCACCAAGAAACGGAACAAAGAGGACATCAGGGCTGGCAGAGCCTCCGGGGCCCAGCATTTTGCAGACGGGGGAATGGATGGCTAGAGAAAGGACACTGCCGGCCCAGGGCTAGTGACAGGTGCCAGCCCACATTCAGGCTGAAGCCGGTCCTAGAACTCCACTGCCTCTGTCCAGCCCGCCCTCTGGCACAGGGCTCAGAAGGGCAGAGGTTCTGCCAACTGAGCAGCTTACAGCGCCCGAGCCTCGGATCTGCAGAGTCTGCGGCCTCAGACGCTTTCAGCGACACTGTCCTCCCTAAAGTCTTGTGAGGTCAGCGGGCAAGAGCGGCCATCTCTATTCTACTGATGGGGAAACTGAGGCCCAGAAAGGAGAAGGGACTTGTGGTCACACAGAGTCAGGGACTGTGTCCCTGGCACCAACATCACACTGTCTGGGGTGGCCTGAAACACGTGATAGTCAACCCAGCCGGCCAGCTCTAGGCAGGTCCCTGAGCCCTGAAGCCCCAGTCCTGGTCCCCACCCTCCCCGGCTGGGACACAGCTTGTCCCTTCCCTCTGAAGCTTCCCCGACACACGACTGAACATATGAATCTGGGCATTTTGTGCAGAAGTTTCTGAATAAGAAGGAAAATATGTCCAAGTGGCCTACAAATATGGTTCTGGTCTACAGCCAAAATTCACCTAAAATCAGTGTCCACAAGAGGAGGGGTCAATGGTCAGCTCAGTCCTGGACTTGGCGGAGTGACCTCGGGCAAGTCAACACCTCGCTCTCGGCCTGTGTCTTCGTTTATAAAACCAGAGTCTCCGGGGACCTTCCAGGATATGCACAAGTGTGCCTGGTCCACGGCTGATATTTAAAACATCATGCCTAAAATAACTGGTAATTAACCGGGGAGGACCCAGCCAGCCACCTCCCCTCCACCTGACCTCTAGGGCACCAGGCCCGGGGCACCACCACATTCCACTGGGTCAGCTCCTGCCTGTCCCTCCCAGGACACCCTCCCCCAGAGACTGCACCTTCCACTGCACTCCCTGCCACCTGCAGCAGCCTCCAGAAACAATCACCCATTGTTTGCTGGGACTTCTACTGACTCTCGAGGACAATATCAACAGCGAAAGGACAGCTGTGGAACAACTAAGAAAACGTGGGCTCTGAAGTCAGGGAGCCTGGGATTCAAATCCGGCTGCTGCCGCTTACCGGTTGCTCCCCTCTCTGAGCCTCAGTTTCCCCACCTGTAAAATGGGTATGAAGACGCCTCCTTCTATTACAGATTGCTGTGAGAACTGAATGAGATGAACTATATAAAGCATTTGACAGTTGGTAAATGTAACTTCCTTTTTCCTGCAATACCAGCAACAACAACAACAAAACAATGACCGAGAGGTCATGATTCCTGCAACCTCCACTATTCGTGTCACGGCCAAAAACCCAGAATAAATGGAGTCTCCGCTCCCAGCGATTGAACTGTGGCCATGAATATCTGAAAAGGATTTGGATGTGGCCAGATATCGACTGTTTTCTCAGAAACGTCGACAGGGAACGGACAATGAGTCAGAATGCCTGGGTGTCAGGCCCCCTCTGCCACCTGCGCTGTGTGACCTTTGGCAAATTTCTTTCTACCTCTGAGCCTTGGGTGTGTCATCCCCTGATGGAGGTAACAATAACCACCTCAAAGAGTCGTTGCAATAAGAGCTGAGGCCATAAAAAGGCCTTGCAAACTGCAGACAGCTCCACAGGTTAGAGGGCACGGGTATTATTTCCATTCTGCAGGCACGGGCCCTAAAGAGGAAGGGGATCCAGGAAGCAGGGCAAGGAGAGTGGATGGAGAGAGAGGGACCTGCCTGGAGGAAGGAAGAGAAAGCAGAGATGCCCAAGCCCTTCCCCCACTGCCTTCCACCTCACCTCCCCCAGTCCTCTTCCACGTGCCGGCACCTTCCTTCCAACCGTGCCTCGAGGAGCCCTTCCCTGCAAAAACCCCTCTGCTAGCCTTCGCCTGCTCTACGTTCTTGCTGCCTGCCGCAATCCTTCCCACATAACGCTCAGAGCCCTGCTGTCACCTCCTCCGAAAAGGGACACCTCCCTTGCCCCAGAGAGATGTGCCCCATCTCCCTGCAGACATCCCCTTCCTAAGAGCACCCATCCCCTGCTTTTTGGGTGCCAGCCTTGCCCCTCCAGGTAGCAAGGACTTGGAGGGCCTGGGTTATGTTGTGTCCGTCTGG